GACCTCGAGAGTGTTCTTTTAGGCAGAGAAGTGTGGAAGCGCCTGTCACCTCTTCCCAGAGACTTGACTGCCCTCCCAGATCCTTTTCCTTCCACTCACCCCATCCTCACATCGACTCCCCCCAGATGAGACATCAAGCCATTCCAAACTTCAGTGTGGCCAGAAGGGGACCACTGACCCCTTTCCGGGAAGGGGGTGGGGTGGTGAGGGTGAGGGCTGGCAGAGCAACGGTTCCAGGCACCCGGGGATGTGAAAGCTGTGGGAGAAAGTGGTCACCATTGTTTCAAGCACAGTGGACTTGAGAGCTTCCTGGGTTTTTTTCCTCAAGTATTTACCCCTACTCTTTATTCTGTTTGAGGTTTTAAGGTAGGCCTGAGGAACACGATCTGATTTGCCACTGCGTTTGGGTTATTGCATATCTAGAAAAGTAAACAGGAGTGTTCAAGTCACTTGATTTGTTTTCTGTAAGCAAATAATACCCAAAAGCATGGCTGTAATTTACCACGAATTAAAATTGATTCTTTTCATCAGGCAAGAAAATAGGAAAATGTGAGATCGTTAATTATTGAGGGAGGCGCTTCTCATTAAATGGAACAATGTTACAATTCAGCATTTAATAGCAGGAACGTGAATAATAACGCACCATATTTCATCCCACTGTCTGCAAAAAAAAGCGAGAGAGAGAGAGAGAGAGAGAGAGAGAGAGAGAGCAGTTTACAAACAGCTCAGGCAGCCGAAAGTTACGTTTAATAAACACCCAAGGCTTCTGTAAGTGGAAAAAGCAATTAGGGCACTGGGCACACTACCCAAGGAATGTGAATAATAACGCACCATATTTCATCCCACTGTCTGCAAAAAAAAGAGAGAGAGAGAGAGAGAGAGAGAGAGAGAGAGAGAGCAGTTTACAAACAGCTCAGGCAGCCGAAAGTTACGTTTAATAAACACCCAAGGCTTCTGTAAGTGGAAAAAGCAATTAGGGCACTGGGCACACTACCCAATTCTTCTGGAGCATCTGGTATATATTTTTATTCTCTCTGTGTCTCTACAAAGGATTTGCAATGAACGCAGAAATACAAGTAGAGAGAAAAATCAGAATTACAAACCTAATCAGCATAAACCCGTCATTAAAGCACTTGCTGCATGGATCTCCCATACCATCCCACCTCTCGATCCAGCCACCGCTATGTTTCTAAATCTTGCTCTGGACCAGGATGGCAAAGCAGGATGAAAGGAACCGATTTTGTAGTTGCTGTGTTTGTAGTTTACATAATCAGCCTTCAAGGTTTTGTTTTGTTTTGTTTTGTTTTAAAAATATATATCTCCCAGAAAGCCGCCTTCTTTCAAAACTACAAAGTTCTCTGGCTCTGTCTGGGCGCGCGGCCCGGCGGCAGTGGAAACGGATTGCCTGGCCTTTAAATGCTCTTTGTGCTTCGTCAAAAAGTAGAAGGGGGAAAAAAGAGAAAGAAAAAAATGATTTCCCTGTGCATTGCCCCTTGGCAGTCTCTTGTACAAAATTCAATCTCTATTTTTTATGAGAAGTAAACTGTCTAAATAAATTTTATTAGGGGCAGCCAATATATTTTCTAGTAGCTCCCTTTGTTCCGCTTCTACGTGTGTGTAACAATCTAAAACCTATTTATTGAGGAAAAATCACTGGATCCGTCATAGAAAATCCTTCTACTTTGCTTTGAAGTGATTTCTGAAGACATTCTTGTCATTCCGAAGACTTGGGGGCCATTGCGCTGAAGCCTCGCCTTGTTAGGGACTCCAGTTCCCATGATCGTGTGGGAAATGCCTTAAATTATCAACAGCAATGGGCCTGACCGGCACTTTCCCGGCTGCCCGAGGAACGTGGGAAGATGACAAGGAATAAAACTCTGTTAAATACATCTCAGGCGCTGCCCAGGTGGATTCAGACATTGGCCAAAATGAGCTGCGAGAGGAAACCGGGCGCGGGGGCGAGCATTTTACGTCCAGACTATTGTCATTTTCCTCGCCACGCCTGCTGGCAGCCGGCTCCTGACTCGCGGTCCAGCTCCAGCTTGCGCTCGACGCCCCCATAACACACCCGTCACCCCCTCCCAACTCTCAGATTTCCCTCTTTTTTTCCTCTTTCCTTTTCCCCTCTCCCCCCACCCCTACCCCCAGATGCTTATGCTCTGAAGTCTTGGAAGAAATGATTTAGTTTGTTTATACTGCTATAAAAATCAAGACCAATAGAAAAGTCATAAAATGAAGCGAGCTATCAATCACGCCGCAACATTGTTATTCAGCGGTTACTAACAGAGATGGATAATCCTTTGATTTCGTCCCATTGTTATTACTCTGATGTCTTCACATTAACTATTACACATTTATTTATCGACTTGAAAGATGCAACGAAACAGAATATACGAGCGTGTGCGTGTGGGAGAATGCTGCACGGTCCACGGCTGTTCTGGGGGCGGCTGTGGGCTGAGGACACGAGCGCTTGTGTGCACACACGCGTAGGCCCCGCACCCGTCTCCTTCTCTCTCCAGGTGGCGGCCTCTCCTCTCTCCCTCCAGACAGGGTGCCGAGCCAAGGCTGTGCTGCCTTCCGCGGACCTGCCGGTTTGAAGGATTAGGGTGTTGCCGCCAGGCCTCCAGTCTCTAACTCTGACACTTCTCCCCACCTCTGCCCCTGCGTTCTGGTCTTAGATACCCCCAAGCCCCACCCCGGTGGGCACAAACCCCCTTCGAGTCCCCGGGAACTTGCAGCCAGGTGCGCGTTCTGGAACCACGTCCAGGGAGCACGCCGCCCCGCCCAGGGCCGCTATCCTGCCTCGTGCAGCGCTCACCGCGAGCCGTAGCTTCTAGATTTGGGGCTTTGTTTGGGGAAAGGAAAGCTTTTATTGGAGGGACTCTATCTGCTTTAGGTCTAGGTATTCTCCTCCCAAGCAAAGCCTTTCTCGCTAGGACACTAGGAGCTTGCCGAGCACCCTCAAGGCTCCCAAACTAGCCGCCGCCGCCGCTCGGACTCCGCCGAACCGCAGCCCCCGTCCCACTTAGACCGCTTTTGCAGCAGCTTCGGCGGCCGCTGAAGCTCGGCCAAGCGCGCAGATTCGGCGGAAGCGGTCTCCGCTTCTCGGAAGGAACCGCTGTGGCTGAATCCCGACACTCACACGTGTGTGTGGATGTGCGCGCGCGCGCGCACGTGTGTGTGTGCATGGGAGGAGGGGAGTGGGCTGCAGGAGAGAAGAGGAAGGGAAACTGCCCCAGAGTTCGGCTTGCCGCCTCCTTTGTCTCCTTGCTCGGTCCCTGTCACATACACATAGCTAAGGACACACACACACACACACACACACACACACACACACACACTTCCTCTCGCATCTGCTCTCAGGCAGCATTTCCAATGTTTTGTGTAAGTCAATTGGACGGCGAACAAAAAAAGCCATTTGTTCGGTATTATTTAAAACAGACTTCATAGGGCCACCCTTTTGTGGAAGCTTTATTTGCACTAAATGACTAATCTTAATTGCATCACTCTCGAATTAAAAATCAATGTTAATCAAGTTGAGAGTAGTAAACATCAGTTTTCATTGTGCCTGGGAAGAGGGCATTCTTCTTGTGTTGCAAATAAAAATACAAGTCAAATAACTTTAAAAGGGCATTATGTTCTGCTACAAATACAATTGAAACAGATTGTTTAGGAGCAGATCAGAAATGGTACAGAATTTTGCACTTAATTTCCTCAGTTATCATTTACAATAAGAACCTCCGGTCTTGACAGCCAAGTCTAAACAGTAGTAAATTAGTACAAATTTATACTGATTTTACTCTAATAATCGTAATAAAAGCTTATAGATTTGGCACTAATTACATAAATGCCTAATGATCTTGAAAATTACTCTGGTTAGAAATATATTACTAATCTTAACTTTGTTGTTGGCTGGCTCTGAAAAATCAGAACATTAGAAATGGTTCGCTTCACTTGTGCAAAGCACTTTAAATTGTTCAAGTAGTTTAACATATTCGAGAGGAAAATAAAGAGCATTTAACTTTATTTACAGCCTAAGTGGAGTTGGGAGCCGAGCTGAACTCAGAAACTTTGACCAAAGGAGCGGGCTGTGGGCCAGGATGCAAGCGTGGGCCAGGCGCAGCAGCAGAAGCCGGGCTCGAAACGTGCAAAGTGCAAGAATCGGCACCGCGCATGGGTCCTTGAAGCAGACGTCGGGGCCTGGCAGCGCCGGGGCAGTCGACTGCTGTTTTGCTCTCTAGGCCCTGCCGCGGGGCTGGGACTCTGTAGGCCCGGGGTCCCAGCCAGGGCGTCTGGACCCTAGGCGCAGGCCTGCTGGGCGGCAGCGAAGTCTAGGCGCGGTCTGGAGGGCGCGGCGTGCCCTTGTTGTGCTCGGGATCGGCAGGCCTGCGCCAGCGGCAGGCCAGTGTTGCCCAGCACGCTGGTGGGGGCTACTCTCGGGTCACCAGGGGGTCATGCCCTGCTCTGTCCCCTGCCCTGCCTCTTTCCCAGGAAGACCCTAGCTCAAAGAGACAGAGCTGCGCCTTTGGAGCGAGCAGGGCGGAACAAGGAGAAGGAAAGGTGTGCCTGAAGGAAATCCCTGGGAAGAACTATCGGAGGTCGGGCCGAGAAGCCCAGGGCGAGGGCAAGGCGGCCGCCGCTGCTTTAGCAGCTGCTCGGGGCTGGAGCCGCCGGGGCTGCCGCTGCCGCCGCCTCCTCGGGCGGGCGCGGGCGGGCGGGCGGAGTGGGGGACTCTCCGGGCGCTGACATTTGCAGGCTGCCCTCCTGATTGGTCCCCTCGCCGAGCTGCTCACGGGTTCATTCAACTGTTAAGCACCTCCCCGTCTCTCTAAAGGACATTATAATGCAAGAAGCCCCCTTTTTAACCACAAACCGAATTTTCTTTCATTTAGGTGATCTATATATATCTATATCGTATAGCTTATAGCTTATATCTATTTTAAATAACTTAAAACCGCTAAAATTTGGGGGGAACAGCTTTCACCCTGGAGCGGTGCGCGATGCTGTCTCACGCCGACCTCCTGGACGCCAGGCTAGGTGAGTGCGCGTCTCTCGCCCAGGCAGCCAGGAGAAGCCCCGGCAGGAAATTGTCAATTTGTTCCTTATTTTACCTTAATGTGCCCTAAATGGACTAATTTCTTTAAAAGTAATTGTGCTGCATTAAAGTTTAATTTGATTTAACATCGTCTTCTTAAAAAATCTATGGAATATGTAGATCCAGAGGAGTTGGGAAATGTTGTTACTTTTTGTTTTTTCTTATTTTCTCTCTTTCCCCCTCCCCCTTATTATTTTTTTTAAGGGAACGACCTACCCCGTGATAATTTGTTTGGAAGCATTTTTCTTTCTCTCTTTTCACCTCCTATTTGCGTTAATTTGAGATTTCTTTCTTCTCTTTTTCCCTCTCTTCCTCTCTCCCCACTACCTCTTTCTCTCTTCCTCGTCTGAGTATGGTTGAATTTGTAAAAATCGGTCTTGAAGGAGAAGCCGCTACAGTAGAAGCGGATTTGCTAAGTGTGCTCATTGAGAAAGGAGAAAAGCCAGATTCATCCTCACGGGCATCCGGCCTGCAAAGGGACTCGTCATTGCCAGTGGCCGAGAGGAATGCTCCTTTTATTTCTCCGGAAGGAAAAGTTGAATTCTCTAAAGCTTGATTCACTGTTATGTCTAGAGAGTTTACTTGAGTTTCCTTAACGCTGCCTGGGTTACTGGGCTCAGGGTTTCCGGTTTGGGAATCTTTGGTGATGGATGTGACTCCATTTTCCAAACACTTTCTCTGATTTGAGGGGGAGGCGGAGCTGATTTGGGTTGGTTTCGGGAGGTGGAAAGCTTGGAGACTTATTCATCTTCCGAGAAAGTGAGAGGGAATCAACTGAGGGCCAGAGGTAGAGTTCGTCAGTCTGCCTCAGCGCAGGTCGGGCAGCAACGAAGGAATCATTTAATTTTTCTTCTTTCTTTTCTTTTTTCCCTCCTGGTCGAAGGATATGCTCTCGGTTTGCTGGGGCACAAGGGGTGCGGTTCATGAAAGGGACTCCGAGGCATGTTTCATTGCCGGGACTGGGAGTGTTTCATTGTGGGAGAGAAGAAAGCATGTGCTGTTTACTACGGGACCCCGCGGTGGAGAGAGGGGAAAGGGCCGGGAGACGGTATTACAGCCTGGCTGTCCAAATCCTGGGGAACCCAGCTGAGCATCCCGGGAGATTGTTCCGTAGGGCGACCGCGGGCTCAGAGGGAGCCGAGGATGGGGCCGAAAAAGGACCTCGGGGAGATCAGTCCCTCCTGGCATGGCCAGGACAGTAGTGACCACCATCCCCTTGCCTCCTCAGGTATGAAAGATGCCGCCGAGCTTCTGGGCCACCGGGAGGCGGTGAAGTGTAGGCTGGGCGTGGGGGGCTCCGACCCCGGGGGCCATCCGGGGGACCTAGCGCCCAACTCCGACCCAGTCGAGGGAGCCACTCTGCTGCCCGGGGAGGACATCACCACAGTGGGCTCTACGCCGGCCTCTCTGGCGGTGAGCTCAAAGGACCCGGACAAGCAGCCGGGGCCCCAAGGTGGCCCGAACCCCAGCCAAGCAGGTCAGCAGCAGGGCCAACAGAAGCAGAAGCGCCACCGGACGCGCTTCACCCCGGCGCAGCTCAACGAGTTGGAGAGGAGCTTCGCCAAGACTCACTACCCCGACATCTTCATGCGCGAGGAGCTGGCGCTCCGTATCGGGCTGACGGAGTCCCGAGTGCAGGTACGCTGGGCTTGGGCGCCAGGGCAGAAGACAAGGAGGGGGCGGGTGGACTTGAAGGAAAGCAGGGTCTTTCCTTCCCTTGCAGGGATCCCGGGCTGCGCTTCCTCTACCTACGCTTTCCTGGGTCAAGTTAGCTCCTCTGCCCGCACACTGGCCCCATCGATGGACAGACAGTGCCCCCATCTCCTGCCAGTATAGCCACATCCCCGCAGAAACTCCTCAAAAGCGAAGCCGGCGTCGTTCAATTGCTAGGTCCTTTCCTTCCTCCTGAGAAGGGAACCTTCGGGTCTCCCATCTTCTGTGTCTCCCAGGCGGCTAAGTCCAGCACGCGATTACACTCCAGCTCTCGTAACTGACAAGCATTTCATTATCCCCTAATGAGTTTGTGTTAAGAGTCTGGATAAATGGGAGAATGCAACAATTATACAGAAAACATGAAAAGGGAGAAAACAAGGAGAAATGGGCACATTTCATAAAAGATCTACACCTGGGTTTTACGGTGTAGCTTTATTCTCCTGCTTATCACACTCCTGCCGCTCTCAGGCAAAACATCCCTAGCTTTGATGTTTACAAAGACTTTGAACTTGGCGGCCTACCAATGCGCTGGGAGAGGCTGGAGCGATCCCCCACAGACTATGAGTCCTGGTTTTCCCTAAGGTAACTTGGGGAGTGGGAAGGAAAGAGGGCTTTCTTGTAAGATCTCCGATTTGAAGAAATGATATTTGGGGCAGGAAAGATTGACCGGCAGTAGACAAAATCATTACTGACCCCTTGTTCTCATCCAACCCTGATCCAAGTTGTAAATTACATGTGACTTATAAAACCACACCTGTAAGTTTTTTGAAAATCGGGGAATAAAAGTATAAGTCCAATGCATTTCGGAGTTTTTCTGCTTTTTAGAAGAATGAAAACATTATGTCAAATATTTTATGGACAGGTGCTGGAGGTGAAAGTCCAAGGCGCGCGCTTAGTCTTGAGCTATCCAGCGTTCTGAAACCTTCCTTTCCTGTCTTGGACGTGGTATTTTCTGTTCCTTACCCTGGGTGTTGATCTCAGCTCTAGCTGCTTTTACAAATTTTAACTATCTTTGCTTTACAAATTTTAAACATCGAAGTTTAAAGATCTCAGTTACTTTACATTTGATCTAAGAAGAGACAAGAGTGTCCTTAATCACGGTGTTGAGTTTTTCTGTCTCCATTCTGCATTTTAAAGATAGTCTAACCTGGAAAAATAGCACAGGCTTCTGTTTTAAACAGTCAGCAAAAAATGTCATTAGGAACTTAAAGTGGTCAAATTAATATAGTAATATTCAGGGTATAATATAGATTAACATTTTTACTCAGTGTAAGTCTGGGTGGTTTCCTTAGTGAACTCTGGAAGCCCTGAATCATGGGCCATTGAAATTAAGCATCAAAGGCATGTTAATTGCATTGTGCAGAAATATATTACTACTGCTCTTAATTTTTTTTTTTTACCTCACACCTCTTTTAAATCTTTTGAAATTGAGTTCAAATCTTAACAGAAATATACAATTTCAATATTTCCATTACCGTTCATAATAGTACTGGCTTGTTAAAATCCTGTCGGTTCAAAACTCATAAATTTTTTGTCACTCAAGAGAAGTGCTATATAATAATTTTTATTTTAAAGACTAAAATGCTGTTGCTTAACCTAGGCTTACTAGTAATTAGTTTAAATTAAAATAGAACTTAGAACCACAAATAAAATATAATTGGACAACTGACTTTATGAAAAAAGAAAATGAGGTCTATTAAACTTTATTAGGTCTTCCAAAGGTTAATGGCAGTGATTCTTTTAATATAAAAAGTTGTAAATGAAATAAAACCCAAACTATGTAATAGAAACAGTTATTTTCAAGAAGTACACAGAAGAATAATCAAGAAGAATAGAGACAAAGTACTTTAATTGTTCCAACATAATGTTCAACCAAAGATAATAGCTTGATGCTGCTGATAGGAACAATTTAATAGAATGGCAATTTCAATATTTTTAAAAATAATGTTCCATAGTTTAAAAAGTAATCAGATCAACATAACCTTCTTAATTAACATTTCAAAATGATTAACATTATGTAATGTAATGCAAAAATAATTTATGTAAAATGTATTTACTTCGCAATTCATTGTATCGTTGCTCCTTGACCAATTTCAAATTAAATAGTAATTGGCTTATGTTCTTATATGATGAGTACTTCGTAGTTTTCTTTATAGTTAACAGATTGCCACACATTCTTTTCAGTACATGGGGCCACTGCACTGATTAAAAATGATGTAAACATTTAATTTATTGCAATTGTATGTTTTTAAAGATACTTTTTGATTCTAGACTAAATGATCTAAAATACTTATTTTTATCTATATCTGGCATATATCATACTTTTAAGTATTTATTAAAGCACCTCTACTCACACGGAGGCCAATTCCATGTCTGATATCGCTCCTCTTTTCTGGCTAGTATAACAAAACCATTCCTTTTATAGCATGCCATTATTAGAAACCAATTTCAGAATTATTTATAACCTGGAATGGCTTATTAAGCAGCAATGCGAGAATCATGCAAATTACGCGATCAAATGCAATATAATAAGCATAATCATTAGTCTCTAGCACGGATTAATTAACTTTCAATATTTTATTTACATAAAAACCAAATCAGTGAAATAACTTCTGCACAGCCAGGCTTGCCTTTCAATATTTTATACGAACAAAAATAATGTGCTGTAATTCCATTGACCGTGTCCCCCAGAATGGCCCTGTCACCTGCCACATCTTAATAGGGGGACAAGCCAAGAGTATTTTCTAGTTTTCTAATGGAATGAGAAATTGCATTTTCTTCCTCTCCCAGCACTATTAAAGTGTAATGAATTCGGCCCAGAGTTCACGGCTGGCTGATCGAAATGAACCTGAGATCTAGGCTTTAATACAGCTCCCCAGATTTCCTCCCAAATCTTCACATTAATCATTTGCTGGATTCCAATGAGATCTTCATAAAACATTTGCTTCGAGGGGGAAAAAAGTAATATTCTCTCTTTCTCCCTCTCTTTCTCGATTTCTGAGCCATTTATAGGTGGGGAATTAAACGGGCTATATATTTTAAAATACATTTACAGTATGTCTATATTACTGTAACAGCAGATATCATGAAAGTGGATTTTTAAATTCCAACCTCCATTAGATTCTCACTGTTGTATTAAGCATTTTCTGAGAAGAGCTGCATTTCAAACTGAGTACAAAGTTGGCCATGGCTGCGGTTAATATATTTCCTGGAGTTGTCATCTCTGCATTCTCAAAATCTCCCTTAGGTTTTACCTGCATTTTAATCTGTCATGCTCTAGTTTTCAAGTGGAAACATTCACATTTTTAAAACATATGCATCATAGCTTGGAACGGAGGTGCTCAGACCCCATGCAGATTTTTTTCTCAACCCCAGTAAGCCATGAAACATAAAAAATTTTGTAGCCATTATTTGACTACTAACCCTCAAACATAATTGAGCACGATTTTTCGATTATTTCTATAATATTTAGTTCTTCAACAGCTGTTCTTTTCCGCTTGGGCCTGAGATTCAGAAACCTTTCTGGCAGGCGTGCTTTTTACTGAGATTCTTCGGGGCAATTTCTCCCCCCTTTCTTCTGCATTTTTCCCCAGTCCCCTACCCCGTGCCAGCCCCAAACATTCAAACATTTCGGGATTCACTGACATTAGCAGGGGGCTAGGAACCGGTATTCATAGATATCTTTCAAAATGTATCTGGGTGCGGAGTGTGAGGTGTGGGGACCATCTGGACACAGACACCGTCCCTTGTCTAGGGCTCCATCCGGTCCAGCCTTGGATGGGTAATGCAAAGCGACCTCTGGGAGCAGGTCTCCTCGCTATGCTTTCCTGGGCTCCTGCGGGCTGCTCTCCGCAGAAGGCCGCTAACAGCTCAATCCGCGGCCTGCCGCATTGATCCCAGCCTCCACCTAGGGTTCTGCTGCCTCATTAATCCGCCGCGCCACCAGCTCAAGGGGCTTTAGCAGGGAAAGAACCCAACATCTTTACCCAATCTGGACACTGGAGTAGGCGGAATCATGGGAAGTGGGGTAGAAACCAGAGAAAGATAAGGTGGTGGGCGACGGGGTAGAAAGGCCAGGGCCAGCCCAAAAGCGGGAGAGGATTCTAGATTGCAATGCTGTTCACATTGGTACATAGAGAGTGCACGGGTGTGAACAAACCATTGTGCATAGCCGGTTTACCGGGAAAGGCGGTCAGTTACTCATACTTATGATGCTTTAGTTTGCAGAATAAACACTGAATAGCTTGGATTAACGCATTACCTTTTGGCCATGAATATGGTGGTCAAATTGCGTTGGCCAAATTATGAGAAAATTCAATCAGTACCTGAGCTGTGTCCCACATCATTTATATTTATGCATAGTAAGCCTCCAACTGACTAATGTTAAACTGTGAGCCTGCCAAGTGGGCATGCTGGCATTTTTTTTAAAATAAAAAGATCAAATTTAAATATGGGGCAAGGGGATGTTATCTTGGTCAGGCAGTTTACTTGATATATTTCAGGAAGAACCCTTCCTTCCCCTGTGGTGGTGAATTTGACTTTCATAGACAAATTTGTCTGGTAAGGTCTGAACTTCCAGGGTCACTGTTAAGAAAGAACTAATAGGCTCACTTTGGAGTATATTTTATAAAACACATCTCCTTTAAAAAGACATCTGGGTTTGTTTAAGCAAAATTAAATTTGATTCATACCTATTGTGAGCTTTACACTTGACTTCTTTTAGTTTGTAGTGGTCAGAAAATTTGCTTTTAGTTTATAGATGAAAGGGGGGGGTGGGGCTGAGGGAATTGGAGGCCTTGTTATTTGGGATCCTCAATAAGTTCCTGAAAATAATAGATTTGAAGGCCCTGAGGCTTAGGGCTCCGGCAGCAGGTTCCAGCACACTTGCACAGCCCAGATAAAGGTACCCTTAGAGGGGCTTGAGAACGAGGCACGGACTTGTGGCAGCAGTACCAGTCGTTACGAATCAGAAGTCACGGTGGCGACCCAAACAACACTGTAACTCAGTGGCGCTCGCTTTCCCACACGGATCACTATATTAACCTCTCTGCTCTGTCATCCATGGCGTTAGGGGTTCTCCTTTGTCTTTCGATTTTGGAACTGGCTATGTCATCCACGGCCCTTCATCAATTTCCAAAGTTACAGCGTTTCAGAAAATTCTATACCCCATCATTGTTATAAGGCACGCTCTTAAGCCACATGGGTACGCAAGTTTATCTTCATTTGTACACCTGTGGGTCCAGCCTTGACACATGCCTGCCTGCAGACCTGTGCATCTAAGCAGCGAACAGAAGGTGCCAGCGTGCAGGGGCGTGGTGAAATACTGCGCATGGTGTATGTTTGCACCGTGTGTAAGCGCTCCGGGGCACGATCACTCAGGACCCCGGGAGTTGGCGCCCGGTGGATGCAAGGGGCGCAGGTTGATTCCAGCTGGTGGAAAACCAGGGTCACCGGCTGGGTGCGGGGGGCGTGCCGGGCCGATGGCACTTGTTCGGCCTGGAGCTGAGTGGGTGGACCTGACGCGGGTTTCTAGGGCTCAAGCCCCCTCCCCTCCTGGCCCACCCACCGGCTAACAGCGTCCTGTGTGTCTCCCGCCCTGCCCGCTCCAGGTCTGGTTCCAGAACCGGCGCGCTAAGTGGAAGAAGCGCAAGAAGACCACCAACGTGTTCCGTGCGCCGGGGACGCTGCTGCCCACGCCAGGCCTGCCTCAGTTTCCGTCGGCCGCCGCCGCCGCCGCCGCCGCCATGGGCGACAGCCTGTGCTCTTTCCATGCCAACGACACCCGCTGGGCGGCAGCCGCCATGCCGGGAGTGTCGCAGCTGCCGCTACCGCCGGCGCTGGGCAGGCAGCAAGCCATGGCACAGTCGCTGTCCCAGTGCAGCTTGGCGGCCGGGCCGCCGCCCAACTCCATGGGCCTGTCCAACAGCTTGGCGGGCTCCAACGGCGCGGGGCTGCAGTCGCACCTCTACCAGCCTGCCTTTCCCGGCATGGTGCCCGCCTCCCTCCCCGGCCCCAGCAACGTCTCCGCAGCTTGGCGGCCGGGCCGCCGCCCAACTCCATGGGCCTGTCCAACAGCTTGGCGGGCTCCAACGGCGCGGGGCTGCAGTCGCCCCTCTACCAGCCTGCCTTTCCCGGCATGGTGCCCGCCTCCCTCCCCGGCCCCAGCAACGTCTCCGGCTCGCCCCAGCTCTGCAGCTCCCCGGACAGCAGCGACGTGTGGCGGGGCACGAGCATCGCCTCCCTCCGCCGCAAGGCGCTAGAGCACACAGTCTCCATGAGCTTCACTTAATGCAGCCGCGCCCGGCCCGCTCCGCCCCCGGCACCGCCCCCAGGTCCGCCCCGAGGCCCTAGCGGCTCTGGCGGTGAGCTCAAAGGACCCGGACAAGCAGCCGGGGCCCCAAGGTGGCCCGAACCCCAGCCAAGCAGGTCAGCAGCAGGGCCAACAGAAGCAGAAGCGCCACCGGACGCGCTTCACCCCGGCGCAGCTCAACGAGTTGGAGAGGAGCTTCGCCAAGACTCACTACCCCGACATCTTCATGCGCGAGGAGCTGGCGCTCCGTATCGGGCTGACGGAGTCCCGAGTGCAGGTACGCTGGGCTTGGGCGCCAGGGCAGAAGACAAGGAGGGGGCGGGTGGACTTGAAGGAAAGCAGGGTCTTTCCTTCCCTTGCAGGGATCCCGGGCTGCGCTTCCTCTACCTACGCTTTCCTGGGTCAAGTTAGCTCCTCTGCCCGCACACTGGCCCCATCGATGGACAGACAGTGCCCCCATCTCCTGCCAGTATAGCCACATCCCCGCAGAAACTCCTCAAAAGCGAAGCCGGCGTCGTTCAATTGCTAGGTCCTTTCCTTCCTCCTGAGAAGGGAACCTTCGGGTCTCCCATCTTCTGTGTCTCCCAGGCGGCTAAGTCCAGCACGCGATTACACTCCAGCTCTCGTAACTGACAAGCATTTCATTATCCCCTAATGAGTTTGTGTTAAGAGTCTGGATAAATGGGAGAATGCAACAATTATACAGAAAACATGAAAAGGGAGAAAACAAGGAGAAATGGGCACATTTCATAAAAGATCTACACCTGGGTTTTACGGTGTAGCTTTATTCTCCTGCTTATCACACTCCTGCCGCTCTCAGGCAAAACATCCCTAGCTTTGATGTTTACAAAGACTTTGAACTTGGCGGCCTACCAATGCGCTGGGAGAGGCTGGAGCGATCCCCCACAGACTATGAGTCCTGGTTTTCCCTAAGGTAACTTGGGGAGTGGGAAGGAAAGAGGGCTTTCTTGTAAGATCTCCGATTTGAAGAAATGATATTTGGGGCAGGAAAGATTGACCGGCAGTAGACAAAATCATTACTGACCCCTTGTTCTCATCCAACCCTGATCCAAGTTGTAAATTACATGTGACTTATAAAACCACACCTGTAAGTTTTTTGAAAATCGGGGAATAAAAGTATAAGTCCAATGCATTTCGGAGTTTTTCTGCTTTTTAGAAGAATGAAAACATTATGTCAAATATTTTATGGACAGGTGCTGGAGGTGAAAGTCCAAGGCGCGCGCTTAGTCTTGAGCTATCCAGCGTTCTGAAACCTTCCTTTCCTGTCTTGGACGTGGTATTTTCTGTTCCTTACCCTGGGTGTTGATCTCAGCTCTAGCTGCTTTTACAAATTTTAACTATCTTTGCTTTACAAATTTTAAACATCGAAGTTTAAAGATCTCAGTTACTTTACATTTGATCTAAGAAGAGACAAGAGTGTCCTTAATCACGGTGTTGAGTTTTTCTGTCTCCATTCTGCATTTTAAAGATAGTCTAACCTGGAAAAATAGCACAGGCTTCTGTTTTAAACAGTCAGCAAAAAATGTCATTAGGAACTTAAAGTGGTCAAATTAATATAGTAATATTCAGGGTATAATATAGATTAACATTTTTACTCAGTGTAAGTCTGGGTGGTTTCCTTAGTGAACTCTGGAAGCCCTGAATCATGGGCCATTGAAATTAAGCATCAAAGGCATGTTAATTGCATTGTGCAGAAATATATTACTACTGCTCTTAATTTTTTTTTTTTACCTCACACCTCTTTTAAATCTTTTGAAATTGAGTTCAAATCTTAACAGAAATATACAATTTCAATATTTCCATTACCGTTCATAATAGTACTGGCTTGTTAAAATCCTGTCGGTTCAAAACTCATAAATTTTTTGTCACTCAAGAGAAGTGCTATATAATAATTTTTATTTTAAAGACTAAAATGCTGTTGCTTAACCTAGGCTTACTAGTAATTAGTTTAAATTAAAATAGAACTTAGAACCACAAATAAAATATAATTGGACAACTGACTTTATGAAAAAAGAAAATGAGGTCTATTAAACTTTATTAGGTCTTCCAAAGGTTAATGGCAGTGATTCTTTTAATATAAAAAGTTGTAAATGAAATAAAACCCAAACTATGTAATAGAAACAGTTATTTTCAAGAAGTACACAGAAGAATAATCAAGAAGAATAGAGACAAAGTACTTTAATTGTTCCAACATAATGTTCAACCAAAGATAATAGCTTGATGCTGCTGATAGGAACAATTTAATAGAATGGCAATTTCAATATTTTTAAAAATAATGTTCCATAGTTTAAAAAGTAATCAGATCAACATAACCTTCTTAATTAACATTTCAAAATGATTAACATTATGTAATGTAATGCAAAAATAATTTATGTAAAATGTATTTACTTCGCAATTCATTGTATCGTTGCTCCTTGACCAATTTCAAATTAAATAGTAATTGGCTTATGTTCTTATATGATGAGTACTTCGTAGTTTTCTTTATAGTTAACAGATTGCCACACATTCTTTTCAGTACATGGGGCCACTGCACTGATTAAAAATGATGTAAACATTTAATTTATTGCAATTGTATGTTTTTAAAGATACTTTTTGATTCTAGACTAAATGATCTAAAATACTTATTTTTATCTATATCTGGCATATATCATACTTTTAAGTATTTATTAAAGCACCTCTACTCACACGGAGGCCAATTCCATGTCTGATATCGCTCCTCTTTTCTGGCTAGTATAACAAAACCATTCCTTTTATAGCATGCCATTATTAGAAACCAATTTCAGAATTATTTATAACCTGGAATGGCTTATTAAGCAGCAATGCGAGAATCATGCAAATTACGCGATCAAATGCAATATAATAAGCATAATCATTAGTCTCTAGCACGGATTAATTAACTTTCAATATTTTATTTACATAAAAACCAAATCAGTGAAATAACTTCTGCACAGCCAGGCTTGCCTTTCAATATTTTATACGAACAAAAATAATGTGCTGTAATTCCATTGACCGTGTCCCCCAGAATGGCCCTGTCACCTGCCACATCTTAATAGGGGGACAAGCCAAGAGTATTTTCTAGTTTTCTAATGGAATGAGAAATTGCATTTTCTTCCTCTCCCAGCACTATTAAAGTGTAATGAATTCGGCCCAGAGTTCACGGCTGGCTGATCGAAATGAACCTGAGATCTAGGCTTTAATACAGCTCCCCAGATTTCCTCCCAAATCTTCACATTAATCATTTGCTGGATTCCAATGAGATCTTCATAAAACATTTGCTTCGAGGGGGAAAAAAGTAATATTCTCTCTTTCTCCCTCTCTTTCTCGATTTCTGAGCCATTTATAGGTGGGGAATTAAACGGGCTATATATTTTAAAATACATTTACAGTATGTCTATATTACTGTAACAGCAGATATCATGAAAGTGGATTTTTAAATTCCAACCTCCATTAGATTCTCACTGTTGTATTAAGCATTTTCTGAGAAGAGCTGCATTTCAAACTGAGTACAAAGTTGGCCATGGCTGCGGTTAATATATTTCCTGGAGTTGTCATCTCTGCATTCTCAAAATCTCCCTTAGGTTTTACCTGCATTTTAATCTGTCATGCTCTAGTTTTCAAGTGGAAACATTCACATTTTTAAAACATATGCATCATAGCTTGGAACGGAGGTGCTCAGACCCCATGCAGATTTTTTTCTCAACCCCAGTAAGCCATGAAACATAAAAAATTTTGTAGCCATTATTTGACTACTAACCCTCAAACATAATTGAGCACGATTTTTCGATTATTTCTATAATATTTAGTTCTTCAACAGCTGTTCTTTTCCGCTTGGGCCTGAGATTCAGAAACCTTTCTGGCAGGCGTGCTTTTTACTGAGATTCTTCGGGGCAATTTCTCCCCCCTTTCTTCTGCATTTTTCCCCAGTCCCCTACCCCGTGCCAGCCCCAAACATTCAAACATTTCGGGATTCACTGACATTAGCAGGGGGCTAGGAACCGGTATTCATAGATATCTTTCAAAATGTATCTGGGTGCGGAGTGTGAGGTGTGGGGACCATCTGGACACAGACACCGTCCCTTGTCTAGGGCTCCATCCGGTCCAGCCTTGGATGGGTAATGCAAAGCGACCTCTGGGAGCAGGTCTCCTCGCTATGCTTTCCTGGGCTCCTGCGGGCTGCTCTCCGCAGAAGGCCGCTAACAGCTCAATCCGCGGCCTGCCGCATTGATCCCAGCCTCCACCTAGGGTTCTGCTGCCTCATTAATCCGCCGCGCCACCAGCTCAAGGGGCTTTAGCAGGGAAAGAACCCAACATCTTTACCCAATCTGGACACTGGAGTAGGCGGAATCATGGGAAGTGGGGTAGAAACCAGAGAAAGATAAGGTGGTGGGCGACGGGGTAGAAAGGCCAGGGCCAGCCCAAAAGCGGGAGAGGATTCTAGATTGCAATGCTGTTCACATTGGTACATAGAGAGTGCACGGGTGTGAACAAACCATTGTGCATAGCCGGTTTACCGGGAAAGGCGGTCAGTTACTCATACTTATGATGCTTTAGTTTGCAGAATAAACACTGAATAGCTTGGATTAACGCATTACCTTTTGGCCATGAATATGGTGGTCAAATTGCGTTGGCCAAATTATGAGAAAATTCAATCAGTACCTGAGCTGTGTCCCACATCATTTATATTTATGCATAGTAAGCCTCCAACTGACTAATGTTAAACTGTGAGCCTGCCAAGTGGGCATGCTGGCATTTTTTTTAAAATAAAAAGATCAAATTTAAATATGGGGCAAGGGGATGTTATCTTGGTCAGGCAGTTTACTTGATATATTTCAGGAAGAACCCTTCCTTCCCCTGTGGTGGTGAATTTGACTTTCATAGACAAATTTGTCTGGTAAGGTCTGAACTTCCAGGGTCACTGTTAAGAAAGAACTAATAGGCTCACTTTGGAGTATATTTTATAAAACACATCTCCTTTAAAAAGACATCTGGGTTTGTTTAAGCAAAATTAAATTTGATTCATACCTATTGTGAGCTTTACACTTGACTTCTTTTAGTTTGTAGTGGTCAGAAAATTTGCTTTTAGTTTATAGATGAAAGGGGGGGGTGGGGCTGAGGGAATTGGAGGCCTTGTTATTTGGGATCCTCAATAAGTTCCTGAAAATAATAGATTTGAAGGCCCTGAGGCTTAGGGCTCCGGCAGCAGGTTCCAGCACACTTGCACAGCCCAGATAAAGGTACCCTTAGAGGGGCTTGAGAACGAGGCACGGACTTGTGGCAGCAGTACCAGTCGTTACGAATCAGAAGTCACGGTGGCGACCCAAACAACACTGTAACTCAGTGGCGCTCGCTTTCCCACACGGATCACTATATTAACCTCTCTGCTCTGTCATCCATGGCGTTAGGGGTTCTCCTTTGTCTTTCGATTTTGGAACTGGCTATGTCATCCACGGCCCTTCATCAATTTCCAAAGTTACAGCGTTTCAGAAAATTCTATACCCCATCATTGTTATAAGGCACGCTCTTAAGCCACATGGGTACGCAAGTTTATCTTCATTTGTACACCTGTGGGTCCAGCCTTGACACATGCCTGCCTGCAGACCTGTGCATCTAAGCAGCGAACAGAAGGTGCCAGCGTGCAGGGGCGTGGTGAAATACTGCGCATGGTGTATGTTTGCACCGTGTGTAAGCGCTCCGGGGCACGATCACTCAGGACCCCGGGAGTTGGCGCCCGGTGGATGCAAGGGGCGCAGGTTGATTCCAGCTGGTGGAAAACCAGGGTCACCGGCTGGGTGCGGGGGGCGTGCCGGGCCGATGGCACTTGTTCGGCCTGGAGCTGAGTGGGTGGACCTGACGCGGGTTTCTAGGGCTCAAGCCCCCTCCCCTCCTGGCCCACCCACCGGCTAACAGCGTCCTGTGTGTCTCCCGCCCTGCCCGCTCCAGGTCTGGTTCCAGAACCGGCGCGCTAAGTGGAAGAAGCGCAAGAAGACCACCAACGTGTTCCGTGCGCCGGGGACGCTGCTGCCCACGCCAGGCCTGCCTCAGTTTCCGTCGGCCGCCGCCGCCGCCGCCGCCGCCATGGGCGACAGCCTGTGCTCTTTCCATGCCAACGACACCCGCTGGGCGGCAGCCGCCATGCCGGGAGTGTCGCAGCTGCCGCTACCGCCGGCGCTGGGCAGGCAGCAAGCCATGGCACAGTCGCTGTCCCAGTGCAGCTTGGCGGCCGGGCCGCCGCCCAACTCCATGGGCCTGTCCAACAGCTTGGCGGGCTCCAACGGCGCGGGGCTGCAGTCGCACCTCTACCAGCCTGCCTTTCCCGGCATGGTGCCCGCCTCCCTCCCCGGCCCCAGCAACGTCTCCGGCTCGCCCCAGCTCTGCAGCTCCCCGGACAGCAGCGACGTGTGGCGGGGCACGAGCATCGCCTCCCTCCGCCGCAAGGCGCTAGAGCACACAGTCTCCATGAGCTTCACTTAATGCAGCCGCGCCCGGCCCGCTCCGCCCCCGGCACCGCCCCCAGGTCCGCCCCGAGGCCCTAGCGGCTAGCGCCCGGGCCCCAGCTCGGGCCCTGGCCCGGGCGCCTCGCCCCCGCCCCCGGCCCCGGCCCCGGCCCCGGCCCCCTGCTCCTTCCCCCTCCAGGCCTCTGCCACGTCTCGCTTGGTCCTTTCCCTTGTCCTCCACTCTCCCGGGCTCATCCCAAGCCCCAGACCGCGAGGCCACCCCTCCGCCTGATTTCGCACCCCCCAGCCTCCCCAAAGCCCCCTCCCCGTCTCACGCAGCTCCTCCCTCCTCCCGGTCTCTAGCGCCTCACCCCATCCTTTCCCGCTACCCCCGGCCTTCCCGCTCGCACTCTTCCCGCTCGCACTCTTCTCACGGCCTTCTGACTGGCTGCATTCCCATCCACACCTGCACGACGCCTGCGGCCCCCTCGCCCACCGCCTCCCGTCCTGTCCCTTTGCCCGCACCTCACGCCCCTGCTCCCGCGCCCTGCAAAAATCATCCTTCCCGTCATTTTACTTACCAGGGAGTAGACTCAGGATCTGAAATCAGACACCAATGGACTGGTTTGTGGGCAGAAACACACACACTCGCACTCTCGCTCACTCTCAGACACTACACACACGCGCGCACACACACACATACACAGTGCACCTAGGTCACACACGGACGTGTTCAAGGGACAGCACAATGTTAGGGATTTTTGTCTTAAAGGAGGACAAGCATCTACTACCAACCGCCTCATCTGAGGACCCAACAGATTACAATTTGATCTATCCTTGTATTCTTGCTCCGAACTCCTTTCTTTCTTTCCTCTCCCACCACCCGTTCCTTGCCCTGTGTACCCAGTCACATCCATGCAGCCCTGTACTGGCTTGCAAAAGAACGCTTTTATTTTATCTTTCTTTTATTTTCTTAAGCACAACTGTGTGCGGGTATTGAGGGAAGGCTTCTCAGGAGGAACATAACAGTGGATTGGGTGGCTGGAGTAGACTAAAGCAGTCATGTGATGAAGAGGTGATCTTACCAATTTTGATAAGTCTTTATAAGGAAGAATAAAATAAACATGTAAGAAAATTTTCCTTTTGTAAAAGCAAAAGCCACATATCTTTTCTGGATCCTTCAGGACTGGGGTTTGTTTGCTTTCTTTTTCCATTTCTCTCTCCTCGCTGCTCTGTGCCCTTGGTTGTTTTGTGGTCGTCCTGTCGTTCCTCGTGCACCCCCCCCCCCCCCCCCCCGCCCCGGCCCCTGCTGGCCGCCGATGGGTGCACTCGGACATCTACAACCCTGCAACTTTGTACAGAGAAAACACAATCAGCTCTTTCTGCATGTGCTGGTCAAATCCAAACCCAGAGAACAGAAGCGCTTTCGAAGAATGAAGAAACATGTGAAATAGGATGTTTTGTGTAGATAAAGCATTCTTGTTACATACTGGTCAATTTGTGATATGTTTTAACTTATTGTCTGTGCTTATTTATGGAATCTGGTTTTCTTAATAAATGTTTGAGCTAATATAAAGCATATTATTTGACTTTTCCGGACAAGTTTATATCAACTTAAATGTAAATGGATAAAATAAAATCATTTTCAGTATGTGATATGGAGAATAATGGGTTTTGGTGTGACTTTGAATGGCGGAAGGGTCTCGTGGTGGGAGAAGGGAAGAGAACTCTTCCAGGAGGTTCTCAACTCGCGCTCAGTCGGCAGGATCCCCACTTTTGGGACGCGTCCGCTTTTCAGTAGGCTTGGGTTCAGCTCCCTGGTTGCCCAGCAGCCTAGGCAGCACGCACCCACACGGCGCCCGGCTCCTCAGGCCCGGTCTGGAGTCGTGCGGCCCGCAGGCCGGAAGTGAAAAGCCGCGCCGTGATCTCCTCACGCGAGTTCGAGGCCTCGCGAGGCTTCGGGTCGACCCCAGTGCCTCCCGAGCGCGAGATGGGCCTACAGGCAGAGCTTCCTCGGTAAGCTTCTGGTGTGAACGGTTTCCCTCGGACAAAGGAGCTGACGGCAACCCTCGCCGGGCTGCGTCCCGAAGGACCACCGTGAAGGAAGCGTGGAGACCGGGAGCTCTGCCGTCTGGCGTCGCCCAGAGCCGCGTGTGGCCCCAGGTACGCTGTGGACGAGATGAGGCCCGGGGCTCCTCCCTTGGCGCCTAGGCCTGGAGGCAGTCCGAAAGAGGCGGCCCCGGCCCCTTTGCTTAGGCGGATCCAAGTGGGGGCAAACGGCGTGGCGGGAGAAGGCTGTCCAGGGAGACCTGGCTGCGGGTCGGAGCTTCTCAGCCTTTCCCCTGCGAGACTGCTCTGGTTTTCTCAGGGTCCATCTTTGGGTCGAGCTAACCTCAAATTTAGCCACGTGCTCAGTTCAAACTAAGTGGTAGTAAAAAATGGCTTTTTTTTTTTTTTTCTGTAGAAGGAGCTGGAAGGTTGCAGGTGTGTTTTAAACTTGGAGGCGAGTCGGTATCATAGGCCTTCTTTGGAAGACTAACCAAAATCAATCTTGTGGTGTGAAATTTAATGGTTATTATAGGCATTAGAATGCACCTTTTCCCATGGGAAGATTTCTCAGTTGGTTGCCACAGAATGGAAACCCTAAAAACACCCTTGTCCTAGAATACAATTTCATACCATTGGGAGCTGTTGTAGTTGTTACTCAACTGTTTAAGCAACTGTTGTAATTGTTACTAAACTAAGAGAACACAGTGGAATCTCCTGGAAGGTGAGGACAAAAAGGCATGATTTTCTATGATAATGAAAAATCATTTGTTCATGTTACCTTAGGAATTTTAATTAGAGATATTCAATAAAATTGGTGAGTGGGTTCACAGAATATTTCAATTCTACATTTTCTAAGGGTATATTAATATAATGTTAAAATATCAAAGAGGATAAAAATAGGCTCATTTGGGATTTCATATAAAAATGGAACATTTCTATGTTTTAGAACTCACCCTAGATTTTAATTTGGCAGCATAATAACCAAATTTCTAAAATATCTGTAGATGAAAAATACTTTTCCTTGTTTTTACATTTTGTCATATTCTCCCTTGGCTTAGATTAGTGCTCTTTTTTTTTTAAACTTGAAATTGTGGAAACTGTAATCTCAAGTCCCATTTAAGAGATCAGTACAAATCACAGATTGCTTCACCAGTGAGCATGGAAGGTTGTTTACAAGGATGCTAATTTTACAGCTTTTTTATGCTGCTGTAAAACATAACTTTATGATGTAGGAATGCAATAAAGGATGCTAAGTGGGATCTTTAAAAATCGTATTTCTGAAAGGCAAGGGAAATGGGATCTTTCATTTGAAAAAAAAATGGGCCAACTCAGAACACTGATGAGAAGTTGCAAGTCAACTGAAGTGATAGATGCTTTCAAAGATACTTATATTTCATAATATAGTGGTTATTTATCAATATTATAATGAAAGTATACAGAGTTTTTCACTTGACCTGACTCTGGAATAATATTTGTTTCTGTGGCAATAGATTTTTGTATTAAGAATTCTGAACATTTTAATGTCATATATGCCATTAGCATAAGGGAAGGCAACCTGGTCTAAATTGTTAAGGTTGACAGTTTAGCAAAGATAAAAAGCAGTGAGAATCACAATCACAAGCCTGAAAGATTTCTGTATTTTGAGGGAGAAAAAAGATAACAACAGAGTGATGCTTCATATTATTTTTTTTACTCCTTATCAGCAGCAATTCTGACTCAAAACTATTAAAGTCATAAAAATAACTAATTACATTTAATGAGGTAATAAGGTAATAAAGCCAATAATGATGAATAATATCAGAGTACAGGGTAGATAAGTACAACATGTTAGGTGTCCTGCATCTAATGAATTGTACTTTTTGCTGAGTAATCTTTTTGGCATTGAATACTGTCACCACCACATGCTAGCTAGAAAAAGTCAAAGTCTATTATGATGTAACTATATGATTGATTTATTTGAGTACACATTTTCATCCTTGTATCTTTATTTTCTCCTCAGTATTGGTACTAAATATCATACATGGCATGCGAAGGATGTCATAGTAATGATGTTGCACTTAGTTTGCCTTTTGTTGATGGTGGAAGAAACAGGTTATAGGAATTCAACCTACTAAAGATGATGTTAGGTATTGAATAGAAAATAGGATGCAGAGCAATTTGGGTAAATCAAGGTAGACGTAAATGGAAAATATAGAGGAAGTTCTAACTTTGGGGCAGTTTATGTTTGATGTTGTCAATGACTGCTTACCCTGAAAATGAAAATGTTTTTAATTTGTGTTGTGGACTTTACATATTAATTTTTAGGATAAAGAAAAAACTTAGCCCACAAAGATGTGTCTTCTAGTAATGGCAGTAGTTAACCTGTCAGTTGAAAGAATGTAACCTTCCTTTTCTCCCTTTCATGACATAAAGGTAATCTCATCTGAGGGCATTTATGTGAAGAAATAACAGCATGGCATAGTGAAACTACTGGCTCATTAATCCTGGCATCTACTTCCTACAGGCTTCCTTGATTAGTTAGATTCATTCATCGGGCATTTCGGAGTTTTTGATTTGTCACCATTGGCTAGGTTCACTGACTTCAGGCTAAATTGAGCCAGAAGCAATGTTTATTAGTAATTTTGTAGTACAGGCTACCCTAATAATTCAGCCCAAATATCTCATCTGAAGAATATCCATTCACCCTCGCTTTTAATGTGGTTTGCAGCTGTGTTCATAAGGAATTGAAAGAACACAAGTGATTGGGCATGTATTTTCTAAATTAGTAATATGATGGCTAATAGCTGTAAACCCATCTTCATATCCAATGCAGAAATTATGATTCATTTTTAAAATGAAAGCAGCAACAAAGGCGGGCACCCCCTGCCTGGCTCTGTGCTAACTCTCATCAGTGCAGAGCATTTGGTACAGGAACCATGGCCTATTTACATGTGATCATTACAGAGAGAACAATGCTTTTCGCTTTTCCTCATGCATGCTCTATCAAAA